TTGAGTTTTGTTTTGTACCTGTGTTGAGAGCAGACTCCTGCCCAGCAGCCTCCTGATCTACACATGACTGCTCAGTGTTGATGGTTTTCATTCTATAGCATGCAGAGTTTGCGTTTGTCTTTCTGAGGAGGTGTCATTCAAGCCAGGTAGGATTGTCTGCACTGAGCACTTGTGGGTGCAGGAGAAGTTCATTCTTCTCTTTCATATTTAATTATTTTGTTTCTGAACAGAACTCACCCATTTCATTGAATGCTCTATCAATCCTCTTCCCTTCTAGGCTGGCTAAATATGATGCTGTTATAAAACTGTAATCTTCCCAGGCTTTTTGGTGAAATTTTTCTTCTATGAGATACTGAAGAATAAGGTGTGAGTGCCTCATAGTTTGCCATCCTTGCCATCAGTTTGCTGCAGGGCTGACAGAGTATACGGTGCTGAGAAAGCCACCTTCTCCTGTTCCTTCATAGGATAAGGAGGGAAATACGCTTTCTCTTTTCAGTAGGCTCCTGGGATGGGATAGGGACAAGAGGGACCTCTGACAGGGCAGTAATTCTCTCCATCAACTTGCTTCTTGCTTACACATAGCATCTCATTGCATCTTTGAAGAAGTCCTTTTTCTCCCACTTCTCATGCTGTTTGGCTTAATTTTCATGGCAAAGTTTCTAGTTCAGGCAACATAAATGGGTTATAAGGTGGAAGCACGCTGTATGGTGTGCAGGATTTTTGCTTTCATGCTTCCCATCTGGTGGCAGCATGATATTGCATACCCTTTCTGTGAATTAAGAAAATTCTGGGACCATAGGACTTAGAATTGAGCAATTTGTCCCTTTCTGTTTTTTTATGTGCACTGTAAAACAAACCGTTGCCTCCATCCTGAGAAAGCTGTCTTACCAAGCTAGCACCTGCTGTTAATCTCACAGTAAACAATACTCGTTGCTCTAGAAAGCTTTTAATCATAACATTAAAAACCAAACAGAAATCCCATCCATACAGTTAGCTCCGGCTGCATTCCTTGCAACTCACAGGGAATGATCTTGCCGAGTGATGGGCATCCAAATGCAAATGGAATTAGCTTCACAGCCATTCATTTTAAATTGCTCTTGACTCATTCTGAAGCGAATTCCATTTGAGAAGAATTTGCTGCAGGTCTCATGCGAGGAGATAATGGTCCTATCTATTATGATCTAAGCAATAATAGTGTAAGTCTCGCAGTTCAGAAATATAGTGAGTTATACACTGGGCTGATGAGAATTAAATCTCGATATATAGTAATAAAACTAGTGATCTAGAGATGAATAGATTGGTGTATGAAACACAATATTTTCCTGCCACAGATTAGAGCAGGGATACTGGTCCATAAAAAGGAAAGTGTACTATAAAATCTCTTTTTCCACTTGTTATGCTTGAAGAGCTAAAATACATACAGTTTTACAAACAAGTGCATGAAAAGAATAAAGACATTGACATCAAAAGGCTCTTGCTTAGAAAAAGGTTTGTTTTAGCTTCATAGAAAATTAAATTAAAATTAAACTAAAATTTCTATGTGCATCATTCCGTGCCAGCTTCAGTGCTGATTTCAGTAACACTTTACCTATTCCTATAGATTTTGCATTTCATTTGCACTTACAATATGTATATAATTGTCAGATACTACAGAAGGCACATAGAAAAGCACGTCTGTATTCAGGCCAGCAACTAAAATAAAAAATCCAAATTAAATTTATAGATTAAAAGGACTTTTTAAAATTTACTCTCTTAATATGAATGAATTGCATAAGTGAAATAAGTTTAGTGGTACCATTAATCAGGTCTTTTGTCTTGCTAACATAAATCAGTCAATAACAACAGATGGGCTGTACACTTTATTATGTGAAAATAAAGATGAATGTGACATATTGCAGAAGTAAACTTGCAGCTCAAAGTTGCTGAGCACAAAAGGGGATTTGTTATAAGAGGGGATAATGTGCATGACTTGTGTTTCTATTTGATCAAGGTTGTGAAGAAGCCATGGCAGAATGATTGGCCATCAAGTTTGTTTGTTTCCTCCAGGCAGACGAAAAATTGTCTACCTCTTTAGCACAGTTCAATAAGAGCAATATAAATCTTGCTTCCCTATTGACCAATTGGGAGATAAAAATTTTAAATAATCAGAGAGAATCATCAGGAGACTGAGATCAAACTCTCAGATAAGATTTATCCCCTTGTATAGAGAAGGAGCACACTGTGAGAGCTGACCTCCACCTACTCTATAGAAACAGACCCACTGGGCCAGTAGTTGCAACACACTAATTCCTCAGAATACTAAGTCAGTGCTCTTTTGGACGGAGGAATGGCCCATGCTGAACTGGTCAGGAGAAACTTTGATGGAAGGATTTATAAAATCATTGGAAACATGGCTTAATGAAAGCACAAATTAATTAAGTGACTTTAAGTTCTGCTGAAAGCTTGCTTTGTAGAGTTGACAAAATTCTGAGCATTTTCAAGTATTCTGTATTGATGTTTTCAGAAGTAAATGTGTTTGATCTTTCAGAATAATTTATATGTAATACACTATCATTATAATTACCCATTCACATTGCTGCAAACATCATCTAACAATATATAATTCCATTTTAAAAAACCACAAAATTTTATCTGAATTTGGTTCCAAATCCCACTCCAAATGAGCAGCCTGTGTTTTACCTGTAATCCACCAACATGCGACTTGGATTGGGTCCTGTTTATTTGCTTGTCGGAATAAACTTTTCCAACAATTTCAATGCAGCAAGCAAACTCATACCTCTGTCTTTTCTGCAGCTCTCTTCTTCCTTTTAGACTTTCTATTTACATCTTTGCTAAGATGCAGTTAATTGGTTAGGCAGCAGAAGTATTGCTTTAGTAATGTGCTGAAATCTAGAGGTGAAAATAAATACATTTATTCTTCCAGTCACCAGAAATTAGTGAAGCAATACTTGTTTAATTATGAAACATATGTGTGCTTTGTTAGTTTCCATCTGTCTGCTCCTGATTTGCAATTAAATGACCAGAAGAAAAAGATACATCCTGTGGCTATTCAGGGGAAATGATTCATCTCTAATGTTGCTATGCTGCATGTGGCTGTGGAGCAAAGTGTGTGAGGGAGGGAAGCAGTGGAAAAGTGGGGAGTTACAGGCAGAATGCTGGAAATCCTTTTGCTTCAGTTCCGGCATGTTTCTTTGTCAGGAAACCAAATGTTGTGTTGCCTTGCTCACTGAATATCATTCCCTTTGGGAAGAACTGGAGAGCAGAACAGAGCAAGGAAGAAATACCTAATGAGAAGTGGACAGAGGACTGCAGAAAGGGTGTCTGAAGTGGTCAGAATGGAAAGAGAAAGAGGAAGGAAGGAAAGTGTTAAATATTAAATTGAACTATTTGGAGCACTGGAGATGGAAACGGAATTATTATTGTATGTCACAGATGTTCTCTTTTCTAGAAAAATACCAGGCTGTATTTAGTGGTCCTTTCTTCGTACATTTAACAGCTCCATTGTGTTATTTCTGAAGGAGTGATGTGGCAATGAAACAAGCTCATTAAAATAGGGAAAAAATGGTAGACAATTAGAATTAATGTGAATAAAGGTGAACTTATGCTATATCCCTAAGCAGTTCAAGAGGCTTACAAAGTCTCTTACTGTACAGGTTTCTCCCTGGGCAGCCAGCTTCCTTCTCATCCCATTTCCTTTTCTGTCACTGCTCTTTCTCATCATTCTGCAATGCTATGGCTAGAAGAAAAACCTTCCATGTAATTCTGGGCATGTCCTAGGTAGGGGAAGGTGCTGCCTGGCATTTTGTCTTCATGAAGACCGGCAGGGAGGAGATAGCCAGCCTCCTGCAGGACTTTTAGTTTGATGTTCTGTGCTGTTTTATTGCTCACCAGCAACGTCCATTGCTGTTTATAGTGATAACTGCTGCAGAGGCAGAAAGGAGGAGGTTGAGTAGAGCTCTCAGGACCACCGAGCTTATTGCTGATGGATCTGTCACCATTTGGCGATCTCACCCGGCCCCACCCTGCCCTAATTCTTGCATGCATTGACAGCAAGTGAGTGGGACAGGGGTTGTTCTCAACTGAAATGATGCTATCTGCACCAAATTGGTGTTTTCTGGTGTATAAATACTAAGCAGAAAGGGGCAGAAGGGCTTGAAAGAGAGGTTTTTGAAGAGGGGAGCAAGAGAAGGAAGGTACGTGGGTTGGGTGTTTTTAGTGATTCCTTCTGTTTATTTGGACTCTTTTCCTTCTTCTTCAGACTTCTTGCACTGAATTTGCTCATGACAAGCAGCTCCAGGGAGGTGCACAGGTTCCTTAAATCTATAGCATGGGTTTCACTGGGCCAAAGTTTCACCCTCTCACAGCTGCTGTGCCCTGTGTTGCAGCTCCTGCATCCTCTCCATGGTGGGAACAGCACAGACGATGGTGCCACAAACCAAATACATTAAATACAGCTTGACACTCTCATTAACAGTCTTCACAACAGTCTGAATGCTGAACAAAGAGGCATAGACTGGACGTGCATTTAGTCTTCTGCTCTTAAAGAAAATTTAAAATTGTTCATCTAAAATGAAAGGCGTTATTTCCTATTTGTTACATCCTCAGCCTATACTTGCTCTGTGCATTCACTTGATTAAACACCGCGATAAGTCACAATAGTAAAGTGTGACCTTGAAGCCTTCAAAAGTTTCTATTATTTCTTTTTACAGTTTTTCAGTCAACTCTCCCAAGTGCTAACATAATGTTTTATTGCTTGTGTTGCTGGTGATGATAACAAAGGGCCGCTCCCAGTCATGTGAATGTGCACATCGCTGTCACATCACATAGAGAAAGGAGAACTGAGGATGTAAAGAAAAAATTATTCTAGTCTGCAAACAGCATTGCATTTACTTTGTCTACGATAACCTTTTATTTGAAAAGCATGATCAGGAAGTACTTGTGAATCTTTGACAGCTGAATTTTGGTTGTTTCATTTGCCCTTCTTGTTTCTTTTTTTGCAGATGATGATTTTTTTCATGAACTTCCAGAAACTTTTCCTTCTGATCCTCCAGAGCCATTGCCCCACTTTCTCATTGAACCCGAAGAAGCTTACATAGTGAAAAACAAGCCTGTGAATCTGTACTGCAAAGCAAGCCCAGCCACACAGATCTATTTTAAGTGCAACAGCGAATGGGTTCATCAGAAGGACCACGTGGTGGATGAGAGAGTAGATGAAACCTCTGGTGAGTTTCCATTATGTCATGAGAATTAAAATGCTCCATATCAAGCCGACCTTTGTAATCTAGCAGCTATTCATATGGCAGCTACTTTTCTTTACTCTTGATACAGTTGTGAATTCTGCAACTGGCAATACTGAGCAGTAGCTGTCATAGCACAGAGGTAGTGTCCACATCCTGGTCAGTTAATAAAATGTGATTTGTAGAGGGTCCTACTCTCATCTGAGCCAAAAACCATAAGGACCTTGCACAAGAAATAGAGAATTTTTCCTTAGCCTAATCTACCCCTTTGTTCACTTCTCTAGTGTCACAGATTCTGAGTGGTTGTTCTGTATTTTAGGTACAGACCAAGAACCATAATTTCGAGAAAATGCTGAAAAATATATGGGTTGTTCCTAGAATAGGGTTTTTCATGGGGAGATCTGGGGGAAAATAGAAAAAAGAAAAAAGAAAAAAATTAATTAATCATCTTCTAGCATGATTCTATGAAGGAAGGAGAAAGTACATGTAAGCACAGTTTAGAGCAGGGTATTCATCCATAGAAAGCACCTGGCTATTATTCTGTTACATTTTTCACCTGCTCCACAGAGCCCCGTATGATGGAGAACAGTATGTTAGCAAGGAAAAGAAAGAAATAAAAAGCCCAGAGCCTCATCCTTCCTCAGTCAGTATCGGAAATACAATGGCATTCATGGGGGCTGGAAGCGAAGCTTAAAAACTTGAACTATTATCTAGAGGAAATCAAAGATATGATTGTTCCAATTTGGAAAGACTGGTAATCAATTGAGTTGGAGTAACATGCAAGGAGAGAAGGGAAACTTACTTCAAAAATCAAAACAGCAGTTTTGATGGCTCTGAGAAATAGCAGGATGCTAAACAAGAAGGTACCTTTCATTTGGGAATTACACCACCACTTGGTCTAATTACTTAGAAAAATAACTCCACCAGATGTCTTGGAAGTCTCTTGTGAACTGGCTTTTATTTGTTTCGGCTCATTTATTTGTACAGAGATCAGAAGCATAAGCTTTTAACAGTACTGTGGTGCTCTCAGCTTGAGAAAGAGAAGGTGGGTGTAGGGAAGAAAGACTCTTGAAAAATCTATATTAAACTTAGGGCCTCTTTATTTGATTGTAAGAATAGACTATTACAGCAGGGTGGATGCAGCAGAAAAACTCAAAAAAGAAATATCTTAATACATCAGCTTTTTTTTCTTTTCTTTTTTTTTTTCCATCCATGGTAGTGCACTGCTGTGAAGGACAAGCAAGAGAACAGCTATCACTTTAAGCTTTTATCAACATCAGTATTCAGTAGCTGCATTGTGGCTTCTGTGCAGTACAGTCAGAGGCAGCTTTGAAAACGAAGGGTCTGATTTTTCTCAGTATCCTAGAAGAACTAAAACAGCATTTGTTTTGAACTCAGCAGTTATGTGCTGATCTAGAGGAGGAGAAAAAAAAACAAGTTTCTAAATGATTGTTTTCAGGTTTCTTCTTCTTTCTGATCTGAGAAAGGGAATTAACATTCCATGTAAACAATGAAAAAGTACGGCAGGCATTCTTATGGAAAAGTTAATGTAAGGCCTCTAAAAATCAGTTGTGAATCATGTGCTTCAAAAGATAACACTAACAACAAGCAGTTATCCATCCAGCTACAAAACAGAACTGCTGAGTAAAGTTCTGCTTTGTAGTGAAAAAAGGAATACATAAAATTCCTGCATACTTCTTGAGTAAACTGACTTGAATCCCAGAAATCCACACATGGTTAATATATAGTCTAGTGTTAGTGTATTTGGTAAAATTGGTGCAATAATGCCCAATAAAGTGCAAGATGGAGACAAAAGCATTATATTTATTCTAAGAACTTTAAGCGTAACAAGACAGAACAACAAATTATTGAGAATACTTAACAATAAATGCATTCTGCAAGCTTTATTATGGGAGTTAGTTTACATTTAGGAAACACTGACTTAAAAACCTGGAGCCAAAATAAGAGCAAGAAGTTACAAAGCTGGCTCATCCTATTAGCAGCTTTGCTCTGCAGCACAGCTTACAGGTCTGAGAGAAATTCTGATGTGTGGACATTAGTTTTTAATGCAAGTGAAAAATTCATTGCAACAGTTTTTTTTTTTTTAAATCTCATTCTAGAAGAACTTCATGGTGCTGCAAAACAATTTAAAGCAGAGAATGTAGAAGCCTAGTCTTGAAAAGAGATGCAGCTGAATATATTAAGGACAAATGTTTTGAATGATAAACAGCAGCAATTACATGTAAACAAAACCCATATCCAATTAGAGAACCTACATTTGTCAGTCAGCCTGGTTGATGTCAATTGGTTGGTTAATGCATATAACAGGTGCAACATTTACGAATCTTTCTCTACTTAAAATGAGAATCTACAGCAGATAACAGAGTGTTGGATATAAATGGATAAACTGTATGTTTAGTAGGAGTAAAGTTGTAGGTAAAATAGAATTATATTTTTTTTTCAAAATAATGGAAACTCAGGAGAATGTTTAGCTCCTCTGCTGTAGGAGGAGCTGGAGATTAAGCTGTAGGGTACCATGACTTTGAGGATTCATATTGGTGCCTAAAGTGAGAAGGTACTAAACATAAGAGGTGATCAGCTTGGCAGCTTGCACCAACCATCCTGCAAAGCCCTTTGACTCTACCACTTTTGAGACTACTTAGGTCTCTTTTGCTTTTTTTGGCTAGCTAGCATAATAGTTATGACACAGGGCACAGTAGTAGCATGTGAGCTGCATAAAGAATGGTGAAGGGTTGGGAGCTCAAGCCTGTGCTGCTTCTGGCTTCAAGCTTGTGGTTAAGGAGGCTGGAGAAAAAGTCCACATGCCAGGATATGCCTAGCTCTTATGTGTGCATGTGTTGAGGGGGTGTGTGGTATGTATGAAGAAAGTGGGTGCATTTCCCTGTCTGCACGTGCAGAAAAGCTCATGAAATTCAGTCTGTCTTCTTGCAGCACCTCTAACAGCAAACTCCTTGTTTACTCACCTTGTAATAACCCAGAGCTCATTTATAAAGTAGTTCTGCAGCTCCATCTTGTAAGCCAAACAACTGAGAATTCAGCACATTCTTCTCCTGTGATGTTTTACCACTCCTAAGGTCTGTTCTGCACAAATATGAAGAGGTGCACCATGCTGAGGTGCTCTTCAGCTGCCATTTTTGAACCAAGCTTTCCCTCTCTGGCCATCAGGTAGTAAAGCAGAGCAAAGGAACCAGATAAACAGGCAATAAAATATTTGACAGGAAAATAGTAAAGGTCAAGTATGCTTTCTTTTCTACAGCACAGGTTATAGGAAAGAGAGGTGTCTAAAATACAGGTATAATGCCAGCAGTACTTCATTTAGAAATTGTAAATGATGCAAGAAAGAGGTAAATATGCTTTGATTTGTGAAAGATTATATGCTCATGGATTTTGAGCCTGTGGCAAGGAATTAAATCTGCCTAGAGATAATTAACTCTTCTTACAAGGCAAATTTGTTTCTGCCACCAATAAAACTAGAGAAAACAGCACAGCAATAATTGTGTGTAAGAGGAGGAATGAGAGTGCAGTCATACTCTCATTGAAGAGAGCAGCTAGACACTAATAGTGACTATATTAAAAATGCTAATTTTTAAGAGGAGAGAAATAAACAATTCTCCTGCATGTGCTTATACATATGTACATATATACATATACATGTGTATATATATCTTTTTCTTTATAATGGAAAAGGTACAAAGTCAGAGTTATCAGAATAATATCTTACATGTACCTATGCACTTTGCAGTGTGTGCTGTTTTAAACAGTAGTTAAAACTTTGCTGTGAGGAACATACACAGGGAGTCTGTGGGAGTTGTTACCTTCTGGTTGGAGAGAATGAGAACAGTAACAGTGACAGGGTGTTCTAGTACCACTTTATTTAATCAAATTGGCCTGAAGAGAGCCTGGCAAAAAATTCCACTGATTGAGTCTGTGAAGCCAGAAGCTTTACTTAGAAGGTCATTAAATTCTGCTTTAAACTTCAGACTCTCTGGAATTTTTCTTCTTTATGAAAAAGTTAAGCATTTTCATAAAGAAGTCAAATGGGTGCTTTGAAAATCTTTAGTGCGGATCTTTGACTTTCATTTCCTATGTACATGAAATACAAGACAAGTCATGGTCTATTTTTTTATGTTTTACTGGAATATTTTCCCATTAATGTGGAAAAAATATATGTAAAGAAATAAGAACACCGGTTTTAAAAAGTAAAAATGGAAGTTGTTTTGAGGGAGCACATTTGATTTTATGACCGGCTTTCATAAAAGATAATAGCAAAGAAAGTAAAAGGAACCCTGCAGAACTGCTGCTCCTGGGGGCAAGAGAATTCCACTGTCAAAGAGTGGGAAGCTTAAGGGCGTCAATAATTATTAGAGAAATTTTTGCACATTTTCCAAATTATTGTGCCTCTAAAAATGGCTATGGCAAAAGATTTTATCTTGCTTGTCTGTTTTTTATGGAGAAATACTTACATGCAGAGAAAACGTTCTACGGTGGCAGAAAAGTTGCAGACATACAGAAAGTCACAGAATCACAGAATCACCCGGGTTGGAAGGGACCTCAAGGATCATGTAGTTCCAACCCCCTTGCCTAGCAGGGCCACCAAACATACACATTTAGATCAGGTTGCCCAGGACCCCGTCCAACCTGGCCTTAAACACGTCCAAGGACGGGGCATCCACAACCTCCCTGGGCAGCCCGTTCCAGGGCCTAACCACTCTCCTTGTAAAGAACTTCCCCCTAACATCCAAGTCAGTGTGCACCACTTTAATTTGTCCAGAGGGATTAAATGCTGCTAAATCAAAACAAATACTGCCCTGTTGTACAAGAGAGAGAAATCAGGACTACTGCTTATCCGTTTGGATATGCATTGAAATAAATAGCACCATAAATACATACCAAACACCAAATAGCCCCATAAATATTAAGGTGAAATGATCTATAAACCTTCTCTTGCTCTCTGCAATGGCAGT